TCCTCTTCCTACTTTGCAACAGTCGTGAAGTGAATGTGATACTCTCAATTGGATCAAAATGTAAGGACCCCAAAACCCCAAGTTCACTCATTGTTGGAATGTGTTTAGACATGGTTTTGGGTTCCACGAACGAACACCGGACCAAATAATCACCCTCGTATCAGTGGGGGGGGGGTAGGGGGGGGGAACGAGCCCCCACCACCTACCCGCGGGTGGGCTGCCCAACTCCAGCGGGCAGCCGGTGGGTAGTGGACTGCCTGCCGGCTACCCGCTAGAATGTGACCGCCCCACCGGCGGGTGGCGTGGCGAGTTGTTCTCCACCGTCTGTCATTTCCCCGTGTCCTGTTGTGCCCCGTTGTACCCCGTTTGATGTTTATGAGTCTCGTATGATATTTTGAGTACCGTTCTAGGAATTCATGTGTAGCGCGTATCGTCTGTTATTAGACATTGATTGTTGTTGTTGATTATATGTTGATTGATTGATTGATGATGGGTGTTGTGATCATTGCACAATGATGGTTGAGATTGTGATTGGTGGAAATGAATTGTTGGCGGATAGCACAACGAGGGGTCGGTTATCGTGGTAAAGGCACGGACCACCCCTTAGACTTGCTGGCTAAAGGCCTGGGTCAAGGTATAAGCGCCGCGGTGCCATGTCAAAGCTATATGTGCTGACCCCTTGGTAGTGGTGCTAGATGCATAGACCATGCGAATGGCACTTCGGTGCTACCATGTTGGTGGACTTGTTGGTGGTTTCGGTATGGGGCATGTAGTTGCCCCGGAGGAATAAGGGAGGCGATATAAGGGTGGCCTGGAGGTACAGGTTGGAACTGATATAAGGATGGAGAGGAGTAAATGTTGGAACTTGGTATAAGGTTGGAAGATAGATTGTGTGCTTTGATGATTACTTGCTGATTGATTGTTATTGGATCCCATTGTTGCCTTTAATTGCTAATTATGAGCTTACTTGTCTATTATGCCTTGTCTTGTGTTCTTAGGATGCATGCTAGTCTTTATGATTGTTCTATAGTGTCAAGTCTGTTGTTGTGTCTTTAGTCCTGATCTTGGTTTAAAGCTAGAGTTGTTTAGGATTATATATGTATTCAAGTTTCAAAATAATTTTCCTATATCTACCTATATTGTACTTAACGCGTGGGAGTGGGTTACCAGCATTATTCGTTGACGGTTGTTACACCGTATGTTTTTCAGGTGATGTCTTGTAGCTTCGGAGCGTGTTAGATGGACTCGTGGATTTAGCTTAGCATTAGTTAGATGGCCTGTGAGCCTTGAATTGTATTGTGGATATTAATTATAGTTTATGCCTTGTCTAGTTAGTCTCGCCTGTGCATCTAGGTTCTCAAACCTGGATGTGGCATAACACCCCAATACTTATGTTGTTAGTTCCGCTTTGTTTGGATGGTTAATGATAGTTTTGTCTTTATTTCATAGGCTTTAAAATGTTTTAAAAATTAGGGGTGTTACGTTGGGTCTTCATACCCCGGGGGCTGGCGCATAAACACAGTTTCAGCCAGGTGTCCATTGAGAGAGGCGTTGTGGACATCTAGTTGGCGAAGAGTCCAACCTCGGGAAACTGCAAGAGAAAACAAGATGTTGACCGTAGTCGGTTTGACCACCGGACTAAAGGTCTCAAAGAAGTCTTCTCCAGCGACTTGATTGAATCCCTTGGCTACCAGCCGCGCTGTGTAGCGCTCTATTAAGCTGTCGGCTTTACGCTTAGTGCGAAAAACCCATTTGCATCCGATTATATTCATGTTCGGTGTAGGTGACACAAGCCGCCAGGTATCATTGTGCAACAAGGGATTGAATTCCTGGTCTATGGTATCACGCCATTGTGGGTGACCAACGGCTTGAGAGAAGCATGTGGGATACGCAGTATTGTTTGTCACGGTTAGGGCATGAAATTGTTCCCCAGTGCCCTGAGTCATGTGACGAAGCCTCATGACATGAGCCCGTTGTTGTGGTTCACCTCTCGGACCACGTCTCCTGGTTGCAGGAACTGGTGAGCAACATGTAGCGTAAGATGTCCGCCCCTGGTATTATGGGGCTTGAACCCTATGGTGGAATTGGTTCTGCAGTCGGTGGCATTTTTTGCAAAGAAGAAGCTATTGCAAAGGGAAAAATAGTTTCGTCAAAACGCACATGGCGACAGATATATATTTTCCCCGTGTTTAAGTTCATGCATCGATAACCTCTAAAAGACGGAGAATAGCCTAGGAACATGCACGGGGCTGAGCGATACTCCATCTTGTGCCAATTATAGGGCCGTAGATAGGGAAAACACAAACACCCAAATACGCGTAGGAATGTATATGTGGGAGTGGATTTGTATAGCCGGTTGTAACACCCCTAATTTTAAAACATTTAAAGCTTATGAAATAAAGGCGAGACTATCATTAATTATCCAAACAGAGCAGAATTAAGCATAAGAGTTGGGGTGCTAATGTGGTATGCCACATCCAAGCTTGAGAACTTAGATGCACAGGCTAACCAACTAAACAAAACATAATTCGAATTCAATATCCAAAATACAAGTCGAGGCACGCAGGCCAACTACCAAGACTACAACTATCTAAACTAAGCCATTGCATCCATCTAGCGCACTCTGAAGCTACGGATCTGTACCTGAAAAACATATGCTGTAACAACCATCAGCGAATAATGTTGAGTAACTACTCCCACCCGTTGAGTACAATAAGTATAAGTATAGAAATCATTTTGAGACTGAGGAATACATATATAGTCCTGAACAACTCTAGCTTTAAACCAAGATCAAGACTCCAGACACATTAACAGACTTTAAACCAGAAGACAACATAAAGATACTAGCATGCAACCTAATCTCGCACGATAAGATAATAACAAAGCTCAATAACAACAAACAACGGCAACAAGGAGCTCAACAACAATAAATCACAACAAGTATTCAACAGAGAGCACAACCATCACCAAACCTTATACCAAGTTCCAACCTTTACTCTTCTCTGGTCGTAACCCCCGAAACACATAGAGGTTTTGCTCATCCAACGTCATGGGGCGGCCGGCGAGTTCAAGGTCCTCCACCAGCAGCTGGGCTCGGCCGAGATACTCCAATGGTGTCATGTCTCCTTGACGTAGGGCTTAGAACTGCCCAAGCAGATTAAGACAGCGCACGCGTGTGGAAGAGCCGTGGGCAGTCTCGACGGCAAGCCAGATATGACGGGTGGTAGTCTTTCTAACAGCCAGGTACATGACCTCCTCGGACAAGGAGGAGATGAGGAGAGACATAATTGATTGGTCCTGTTGGACCCAGGCACCATACGCCGGATTGATGGAGGTAGATGCTGCTTCGTCGGAGGCGTCATCGACGGTTGCTTGAAGAACCGGCGGCAGACATGGCAAATTACCATCAACATAGCCGATTAAGCCTTGGCCATAGAGGAAGGGAATGATTTGTGTTCTCCAGAAAAGGTAGTTATGGGAGGTGAGTTTAATTGATACGAAATGGTGGGCGGCATTGAGGGAGTTTGGGGTAGCCGGTGGCGTCGGGATGGTGGTCGTCGTGAGTGTTCTCTCGGAAGCGCTAGTCGACGGGAAGTTTAGAGAGAGAGAGAGAAAAGATGAGTTTTGGCTAACTAATACCAGATGAGTGAAGGGAATTCTGTTACAATTCAATATCTCAACTTGATAGAGTTTACAAGGTATAGTAACGCTAAGTATTTCCTATACAATAGGATAAGGATGTGGTTAACTATTCTATACCACATATATTATTAACTACACTAATATAAACTCCTAAGTCTGGTATCATCAAAAATCTAGTTACAAAGTGTTCCTAACAGAATGACATATATAAATTTATGACGAAAAAAAAAATTAAAACTTAGAAGAAGTGAGTCAAAAGTAGGAAAGCCCCTCGCCCAGGCTATTAGATTTTCCTTGAAGAATAGAAGTGAGTCAGAATTAGGAAAGCCCCTCACCCGCCTCTTGCCTCTTGGTCTTGGTCTTCTTTACCTAGGGAAGCAGGTAAGCAGAATGACTATCTCTTAGTATCTTTCACTCTAACTGAAGAATACCTTTGATTTAACTACTGTCCATTTACATCTCTAGCTCGCATTATGTTGTGTTCAAATATATTTTGAACGAATAAGCTAAGTGTGTTTAATTTGTTCTTGATCACTTATGGTTTCTTTAATTTGTTGTAACTTGTAACTTCTAAATGTTCCTTAGTCCCCTTATCATGTTAACAGGATAGAGTGGATGACACAACTGAGATTATTGTTAAGAACATCACTAATATAAATTCTCATAGAGAAGCTTTCATGCTAAGTGTGTTTAATTTGTTCTTGATCACTTATGGTTTCTTTAATTTGTTGTAACTTGTAACTTCTAAATGTTCCTTGGTCCCCTTATCATGTTAACAGGATAGAGTGGATGACACAACTGAGATTATTGTTAAGAACATCACTAATATAAATTCTCATAGAGAAGCTTTCATGAATAAGCATATCTACTTTCAGCTTGATCTTGATCTTAATCTTGATCTATGTTTGTTTTAAGTTTCTATAATTGTATTGGTTCCACCTAAATCTATAGCTTATGAAAAAAAATTTGCATCTTCACATATATAGTCCTATGATGTATGATGTATATATGTATCTTTACTGATCAAATGACATAATATACACTAGGTTATCAATCCAGCTAATTCATGGTAGATTTTTTTTATTCATATATTGAATGATTTGATGACGGTTAAATATTTTCCTGTTTGTAACAGAAGGGAGTAACAGCTCGAGATCAGAGCATCTCAGAAAGCTGTAAACAAAACGGCTTCCGGAAACTGCAAAACAAAGTGCACTGTCCCGCAGCCATTTGCTCATGAAGCATCCTGATGATGAGAACTCATGTGCTGCTCTTTCTCTTATTACCTTAATTTATATGGTCATTTCTTTCTCTACTTAATTCTATTCTATTGTTTTCTTAACAATTTCAAGCACTACATCACGGGGAATTGAGAAAGCCCAGGAAAGCTATTGCATTAGCTCCAACATTTAGAATCACTGACACGAGCAGAGAGAAGAAAGGAGGTATAGTAATCTATTCAACATAGTACATACTGATCATGACAAGCAAAACATGTCTATATATCTAGTTGAGAATATAAAATTCTTAGGCTGTTAATTTTCTTGTAATTCAGTTTCACACGAGATTGGAAGAGAAACATCAAGCTTTAGAAGCTGAGAGAATTTAATGGGAAGCAAGGACAAAGGTATTTCTTTCATATCAAAGATATATGTAATCTGTTAGAGATGGGCCACACTGCACTTTTAATCCAAAATATGAAATGGTGTCATTTTTGCTTTCGTTACATCTGTAAGCATTGAAAAATTTAAATAATATTATTGGATCATGGTGGATAATTGGTTGCTAAATTAATTACTTTAATTAAGCTAATTGGATTAATATTTATTTAATCGGTTAATTAAATGGCCCATTAAATATTTAGTTGGTTTAATTACTTAATTAAATGTAATTGGATGTTGGATTGTTTGGCCCGAGATGATGAAATATTTAATCGAGTTGGACCAGGCTGCTTGGATGAATTGGGTTGCCTAATTAGCGGGCTTGACTTGGTCTTGGCCCACTAGAATTATATGTGATTATATAATTTTGAGGAATTTGAATATTTGATATTATTTGGAAATTTAATGAAATCATGAACCTGGACACAATGGTGTCCCGATACGTTCCTTAATTTAATTAAAGAAATTAAATTAAATAAGGAATTAAGAGTTGGTTGGAGATTTTCTCTCACCCTCACCACTATAAATAATGGTTTCATTTTCAAGAATTGGGAGCTCTGGAAATCTACATATTGAAGCTCTGCCGAAATCTCTCCAGGATATCGTCTGGAACACGCCCGCAGTTGCACTGCGTATACCGCGCTGAGGAACACGCCACTTGAACACCGGAAGCCCTTCTTTGAAGATCAAGCTGCATATTAGCCCTTCATTGAAGAGCAAGCTACATAACTCCGGAGGCCCTTCAGCAAAGAACTACTTCCAGTTCGGCATACTCCCGAACTCGGTATACTTCCAGTTCAGCATACTTCTGAACTCAACACACTTTCGACAAGGAATTCGGCATACTTCCAGTTCGGCCATACTCCCGAACTCGGCATACTTCAAGTTCAGCATACTCTGAACCTGGCACACTTCCAATTTGGCATATTCCAAATTTGGCATACTTCCAATAGGCATACTTGTAGTAGAGAATCAGAGGACTTCTCCTATTCAGAGATTGTACCCCTTCTTGATTGATACATACTTCCTTGTAACCGACACTTTGAATTTTGAATATATACAATTCAAGTTTTTCGCGTTTACAACATCTTTAACGTTTTAGGAAGAATGTGAAGCAGCAGTAAAGCAGGAAATCCTTTTTTTCTAGTGTAAATTTCTTCAAGTTATGGCCATACTTTGGCTTCGTTTTCTTGTAAATTTTATCTGTTGTAAAGAGCATCTATCATTCTCTACAATATAGTGTTTATAATTGATATAAACATCAACATTTGGGATTGCAAATAAAGATAATACTCCTTGGGATGAAAAGTTACCTAAAACTTACTTGTAGTTGATAGGGAAAGGTTCTGTGGTTAGTGAGTCGACCAATAGGGTGCTTTTATAATCTATATCAAGTGAGGATAGATGTGCTTTAGTGGTTCAGAAACCTTAGGTTATGTGTACAATTATGGTAAGACTCATTATGAGAAGTTTGTAAATCAAAAGAGAAAGATGTCATTAGAGCATAAAGCATGTTATGCTGAAGCGCTTGTGTACATATTCTGCAAAAAAAAATGACCTTTTGGTTAGGGACCAAATATATATATGGAGGGCAAAAATCACTAGCCGAAAAGGGTTTCTGGCTTTTAATTTGCCATAAGTCTGAAATCTTGAATTTGCAGTTTATTCTGTGTTTAATATTGCTGTTCATTCTTTGTCAGCTAATAAACTACTATTTTGTTATTAGAATATGCACTGAAAGGTACTGGGGAGTTGAAGTTAGAGAGGCCTTTTTGACCGGCAAAGGATTGACAGTTAGTAGTTTGAAAATTGATCTCTTCTTTTGATTTTTGAATTTGGTGTTTATATGTGTATATAAAAGTTAATACCATAGTGTTGGCCGGGTGTCGGCTAGGTTGACTGAGTTCAACGTTGTGACTTACCATGGAGGCCTGTGGGTGCTTTCTGCTTAGATAAGTGTTTTCTTATATATGGCTTCAATGTTATTGTGTTACCATTTAAAAGAGAATTGTAGCTATTAAGAATATTTAAATTTCTAAGGAGGAACAGGAAGATATGTGGAAAGGGAAGCGTGAGCAAGAGAAGCAGTGGGATTATATTGGTTGAATTTTACCGGAATAATTTGTTATCATGTTTAAAGCCATTTCAACAGGTTTAATTTGTTGATTTTAGACCAAAAATAGTGATGCACAATAATAGTAGAATCAATGGGGGATGTTTTGAAAAAACAATACTAAGTTCATGTTTGATAAAATAGTTAGCTTATCAGTCAATTTTTGTTTATTTAATTACTATATATTAATTGTTTGACTTTGTTAAAAAAAAACAATATAAGTATTTGGTTAATTAGCTTTTTGTAACTCCAAAATGCTAAAATTCAATGGCCCTGTTTGGTAAAAAAAATTGGCCTATAAGCCAATTTGGCTTATTTGACCACTATTAATTGTTTGATTTAGTTAAAATACCAATATAAATGTTTGTTTAATTAGCTTTTTGCAACTCCAAAAGGCTAAAATTCAAAAAGCTACTCCAAACAACTTTTTCAATTAGTTTTTTGAGAAAAGAAATTATACCAAACAACTATATCAGCTAACAGCTAATTTACAAAACACTTTTCTACAATCAGCTAATGTTATCACCTATTTATACCTTCTAATTAACACAATTAGCTAACAGCTAACAGTTATTAGCTAACAGTCATTTTACCAAACAACGCCAAAAAGCTGCTCAAAACAACTTTTTCAATTAGCTTTTGGAGAAAATTAAAGAAATTCTACTAAACAGCTATCAGCTAACAGCTAATTTTCCAAACAACTTTCTACAATCAGCTAATGTTATCGACTAATTATGACCCTGTTTGGTAAAAAATTGGCCTATAGGCCAATTTTGGCTTATTTCACCACTATTAATTGTTTGATTTAGTTAAAATATCAATACAAGTGTTTGGTTAATTAGCTTTTTGCAACTCCAAAATGCTAAAACTCAAAAAACTACTCCAAGCAACTTTTTCAATTAGTTTTTTGAGAAAAGAAATTATACCAAACAACTATCAGCTAACAGCTAATTTACCAAACACTTTTCTGCAATTAGCTAATGTTATCAACTAATTATACCTTCTAATTAACACAATCAACTAATAGCTAACAGCTATCAGCTAGCAATTATTTACCAAACAGGGTCTATACCTCCTAATTAATACAATCAGCTAATAGCTAACAGCTATCAGCTAACAACTATTTACCAAACAGGGCCTAAAAGTAGAATGTCACCTATAAATGTAGGACCAAAAATGAAATTAACTATTTAAAAAAAAAAAAAAAAAAAAAAAAAAAAAAAAAAAAAAGAGCTAAAATGTTCTTAAAAAATTGTATCAAATGATTGATAAATAAATCCTAATTAAAACTATTACTCAAGGTAAACCTCGTCTAATCTTTGATTTATAGAAACATTTGCCACCATTACATGAAGGTGCGCTTTGGTAAAGCCTACCTCGGCTGATGGTGTACATTAAATTGGGTAAACTTCCGTTCCTGTGTAATAGCTCGCAAACCACATACAAGATAAACAATATTAGGAAAATTCAAATGGGTTTAACCAAAAAAGTGTTGATAGGAATCCAAATGCTGAGTTTCATATACGAAAATTATACTCTACATACCCATTTGACCACTCTTTTTAGGCTAAGTTGCACTCGTTGAATACAAAAAGACTTGTACTTTAATAGAATATAAGTACCTGCAAATTATAAAACAATGACATGCATACTAACTTAAGGCAATACCAGACAACATTATACACTACCAAAAAGGTTTCTAATGTACCAATGCATGCTAGAGACTATCTAAAAGTTTTGTTGCAAAAGACCATTAGCGACGAAATTTTTTATGCTTTGATTAGCTAAAGCAACCTTGCTAAATTTGAACACCGACCACCTACATTGCTAATTTCCGACGAAATGCCATGCCAGATGACGAAACTGAATTTTGTCATCGTCTAATTTGCATGTACCATAGTAAATTGTATTTTTGTACTAAAACTGTTGAAAATAATATAAAGGGACGAGTTTTAAATTTTATTAAGAAAAGTATCGAGTAAAATATAATGTTATGTATATCACTGTAAAAATTATATCTGCCCTGTTGATAACTTTTGGCAGGTTTACAATCTCCTCAACTTGGGGCAACCAAACAACACCAAACTAAAGAAATATCTGAACGTTGTAGAATGGAGACAATATTATGGGCCATAGTGATTAAATATGTTTTAGAAGAAGAAAGCAAACATAGGCAAATTATTAGTGGACCCGCGTCTAAAATATACAATTTACATATTGAATGTTCACAATTTTATAAAAGATAAATTATGAACATTTAGTATGTAAATTGTAAACATTCAGTATGTAAATTATGTACTTCTGGGTCCACCTTGCAAGGTAAACCATGGTCCATGGTACAACAGATCTCTATTATTTGAATTTTTTTCTTCAAATTAAATTTAATTTTGTTAGTATCAAACGCTTACAACTACGCCAAAAATGATAACAGCCAACAAAGACGCATTTTTTTTTCTTATATTTGTGTAACAATCTGAATAAATGCAACGTTTCGATAACAAGATGCTAGATTCAACTCTCAAACATGCACCCAACAAATTTTGTGTAAATACTTCCATTGGTTATTATGTAGTGTATTCGCGGTGGAAATATTCTTTTGGCTGCTTTAATTTACATAATTACATAAGTATTATTAGTATTACATTTTCATCAATCTTGACATTACCCGTATCACAGGTAATAATTTGTGTAACACCATCTCACATAAGTTTTTACCCAGTGTAAAAGGTATGGATACTAATCTAAGATTGGAACTATTGCACTCGTCTCCCAAAAGCTTGAAAATAAGGCAATAGAACTTGGTAGAAAAGAACAAAACATCCCATTGCATATATGCCAATTCAAACAAATTGGGCTCTCAACAAAATACACAAATTAACGAAGGAAACACTACACTGCTAGAATTAGCACTGGAAAATCAATGAAAGACATAACCGTGAGCACGGCCAGAACAGAATAATTTGTTCGATCTGATTAAGAAACATAGCACTACCTAGCTAGGAACATAACATAACATATATATATATATATATATATATATATGAAATCGAGTGAGCTGAGATTAATTGGTGCCGCCGAGGACACTCTTGAGCTTCTTGATTTGAGCCTCGTCTAGGAAAGTGACGGTTTTCACGATATCTGTCGGCAAATCATTCTTAAACAACGCGAAGGTCGTGATTTGGAGGCCTGGGTTTTGGCTACTGAAGGTGACAAAAGCCGTGGCTTTGGTTTTCCCGACGTTTATTTGGAAGTGCAACAACCCTTGTGGGAAAACCATGACGTCCCCTTCCTTAAGTGTCTTGGAATAGTACACCTTATTATCGAACGAGGACACGAATCCGGCCGACAGGGTCCCTTCGGCGACGACGAGGATCTCCGAGCCGCCGGGGTGCGTGTGGAGCGGGACCACGCCGCCGACGTCGATGTCGAGCCGGGCCATGGACAGCCCGAGCCCGTTCACTCCCGGGAACTGGGCGTCGAAGGCCGGGGTCACGGCGGCCTTGATGATGTTGGTGGTGTTCCCGGCGGCCGCTAGGCCCGAATAAACGAAGTCGTTTTCGGTCACCGAGGTGGATTTCTTGCATGGGTAGCCCGCCGGCCCGGGCGGAAGGGACAGGTTGCCCACGCAGAAATCTAAGGCGTGGGAGGAGGCGGAAAGGAGGGAGAGGATGAAGAGGGTTTGGAGAAACATTATGAGTGTGATTTTTTTGCTTTCCTTAGTGTAATTTTTTATTTGGTTCAAAATGGGTTTATGGATGGCTTTATATATATAGACCGAGGAGATATTTGCATGAATGCATGCAATGCAAAGAATAGGATAGATTCTTTCTTTTGGGCCGGGCCGGGCCTAACCGGGCCAGTTGGTTCCGATTGATAGAGGTACGACAAATATGTCCATATATATGCAGTGCTTCACGTGCATGCCAGCACGGAAAAAGGGAAATTATCTTATATATGTGACCATGTGAGCAAGGAAATTATCCTATATGGGCAGTAATGCTTACCAAATGTTGATATTTTCTCCAAGGAATTTGTAAATTTTTAAAAATAAAACACAAAAACAAATCTTATTTTTAAATAATGTTTTGATACTGTGGGATAATTCCAGGCCTTGTTTGAACCTATGAAGCAACCGTGTTTCTGTTGCAAGGCAAATTAATTACTATGTGGACAATGGTCCACACGACTGTGTGGACCATGTTTCAAAATATCGTTATGAATATTATGAGTAAAAATAATGTACATTATGTATTAGAGTAATGTACATTATGTGTTAGAATAATGAACATTACGTGTTAAAATAATGTACATTATTACGTGTTACAATAATGAAACATCTAGGATAATATAATGTACATTATATTTTAAAATAATGTATATTATGATTTAGAATGATATACATTTGCAATTGGACGCGCGAAAAAATAAAATTAAATAAAATGATTTGTTTTTGAATCGTGATCCACACAGCTGTGTGGGCTACTGTCCACGCAATAACTGTTGCCGTTGCAAAGGCTGGACTTGTTTCGAGTTTATTAGCACGAACATCTGTTTAAGAGTCGCAACCCCTGTTGGGGGCATTATGAATAAGCTTTGAAGTAATGGATCGGAGAATAAATTGGCTAAACTCTATCTCTTGGTTTTAACAATATGGGAAAAAAAAATGTGAACTAGATACAATGGCGGGATAAAGTAATAAAAGTCCTAAATGTTTATCATGCAGGTGGTATCATCATATCATCTTATTCAAGAAGTCAATCACCAAGGGGCTAGTTTCTCATTACTGGTAATAAGCTTTAAAAATATCAAATCAGAATGGATATTGATCTAGTGCATTCCGAATGGAGATTGTGTATCAAATCATATAAAGTAGGAACGTATTTGAATTGATAAGAACTTTATGAACAGTATTTAGACTTACAAGGCGTTTGGTTGGAGGGATTTTAAATTCCCTTCCCACTTAATTCCCACCTAATTCCAAAGGCCATTAAATTCCGTAGTTTGGTTGGAGGGAATTGCAATTCCCCCATTTTCATGGAATTAAAATCCCATGTCCCCCATGGTATTTTTATTCCTGGGAAAAAAAGATAGTGATGAATCAAAATTACCCCTTCCTTTTTTAACCTAAAATTAATGTCTAACAACAATAATGGACATTTTTGACTTTATACTACTTATTCCCTTTCAATTCCCATGTATACAAAACATTGGAATTGAAATTCTCAGTAATTCTATTCTTGTCAACCAAACACTGGAATTTAAATTCCCATTTTATTCCCAGTAATTCAACTCCTATTGAATTACAATTCTTTTCCTACATAATTCCCCCCCTCCAACCAAACGCCCTGTTAGTGATTGTATTTTGGAGTAGATGATGAATTATTGTCTATTTTGAAATACTTTACTTATTTGTATTTTGAAGTAAATGATAATTGTATTAATGAATTGTTACTTTTTAACAACACTGGTTTCAACAACACTTGAATAGAACCAGTGTCTTTGATAGATAAAACAATGGTTAAAAACCGTTGTCTTTGAGCGTGACTTTTAACAACGCTAATTTTAACAATAGATTTTTTACCTAATAGACAATGGTTACAAATCGTTGTCTATGTGTATTTTTCGTAGAGTGATTTTTGTACTGACCTCAGTTGTTTAGTGATACAGAAATAGTGTTCTCATAATCTCATTATTGAAGTGAAAAGATATGATAGAGAGAATGCGTGCAATCACTTGTGACACGCCATCACTTAATAGCTTCATATATAAGTATATAACAAATGTAAAAAAATAAAATAAAAATACAATGATAGATAACTACAACCATGCGTCTGTGCATATATACCAACTAGACATTCAAATTACACGTCACCTTTTTTTTTTCAGTGACCAAATATGCAAATACATATTTGTATCTGATATTCAGTTAGAACCAACTTTATCTCTTATTCTCATTATAGTGTATTGTTTAAAGATATTAATTTATGTGATATTCTCAATATTTTTTCATAGGTTAATTAGGAGGTATTATTCAAAGTTGATCCGCATAACATCTTGTGGGTAAAAAGTATCTTGCACGAGGAGTTCCAGCCTATTCCAATTTCCAAACACATAAAATATACTATATCTTAAAGGCTAGGTTACGCTGGGGACGGTAATGGGAAATATATATCTTGGGGATGGTCCATGCATGAGCACATGTATACATAATATTTTCAATTTTTCATGGATTAGGAAATGTAGCATCCTAAGGTAGATTACATGCAATAATATTGTGTGGATCGTGGTTCACACAGCTGCGTAAATCACAATCCAGTTGCGTTAACCACAATCCAAAAATACATAAAGTATGTTATTTTAACTTATAAAATACATGATTCTAACTTATAAATTACGAATTCAAAAAAAAAAAAACTTATAAAATACATTATCTTAGTCCAGAAATTTCATTATTCTAACACATAAAGTACAGTATACATTATTCTAACTTATAAAATACATTATTCTAACACATAAAGTACATTATTTTAGCTAATAAATATATTTTCTTATTCAAAAATTTTATTATTCTAACACGTAAAGTACATTATTCTAACTCAAAATGTTTATTTTTCTAATACGTATGCAGAGCAAGAAATTATTTTTTTAACATTAAAACAACGTTGTTTTAGACGGGGTCCACACAATAATTTGCCGCTTGCATGGGCTGGGCAGTTGGGCACAATAAGACAATTTGGCAACCAGAAAAGGGGCACCCTGCAATTGTTTTGTTTTGACAATTAATTAAAGGGTATCTCTTCGGAAGCAAACGTATGGATCTTAGTACTTCCCTATCTTTTAGCTTCATATTAGATGATGTTTTAAGTTCGACCTTATTTCAGTTGATTATTATTATTATTATTATTATTATTATTATTATTATTATTATTATTATTATTATTATTATTTATTGTTATTGTTATTATTATTATTATTGTTATTATTGTTATTTTGTTATGAGTTATTTAATCTTATTTATCTTATTATTGTGATATTTGCTGACTAGAGTCACAATGCGCTTCAAATAGTGATTACACACAATTAATCAACCATGTGTGCACATCAACTATGTTTGCAAGAATATAATTATATCCAAAGTTTGGATAACTTTTAAAATTTTCATATCTTGATATAATTTACTTGAAAAATTATAATCAATCATGATTTTTTTTTTTTTTTTTTTTTTTTTTTGCATGGAATCAACTACAATTTACCTTATACATTCATCTCTAGGACAGGATGGATAAGAGGCCATAAAATTTGAAGTTTAAATTTATACAGTATTTTATATATTATATGCTCAGGCACTGCAAATAGTTTCATAGCTTCCGCTTCATGCCTTCTCGATCTTTTATTTATTAATTTTTTCCTATATTGATGTGAATGTGTAAATTTCATTGAGTTGTACGCATACAAGAAAAATAATATTGTCCAATAATCAGGACCGGCATTGGGCGCCTATGCTTAGAGCTCCCACCCCCATATATTTTATATAAAAGGTTACAAGAGAAAATCTCTATACCATACAATTCAATAAGTTTTAAAAAAACTCTTGTATAAATAGTGATACAAACTCACTTTCCAAACCAATGTGGGACAAAAGCTTCTTCAAAGCTTTTCCCTTCATTTTTCCAACTCAAATGGGTCTATTTTGAGAATCAATTTCTCATTCACCTATTATCCGTTTTGAGCGTACAATATAATATCAATCTCTTCATCTCGCCACGAAGAACCCGAATCTACTTTGACTCGACCCAAATCGGAAGTGGACCCCACTAATAATTATACCACAAAATAGCCACTTAAAATGTCATTTTAATGCTATTTTCCAACACTACCAAACACGCAAAATACTTTCACTAAAACCTATTACCATTACCAAGTATTTGATACATACCCATTCCGATTCTGATTCTCATGGGCGAACCAAACACACCTGATAGTGTTAATTCCCACGTAAGCGGTAAATAAAATAACACAAGACCAATTAAAGCAAGTAAATCTTTTATTGATCGGGTGAAGGACCTAAATACAATCTACACTGGCTATTCCGAAGGCCGACTGACTACGGTCGGGATGCTCTGACAATAGCCTATCGATTGTCCAAAAGTCCCCCACACTGTTGCAACTGCGGGTATATATAGCCGTTGGGCCGGAGACACAAGTCCGGCCGTTCGGCATGTCACCCACGTAGCAACCACGTGTCCTGCTCCCGGGAGCCCTGCCTGTCAGCGCGTAGTGCTGCCACGTGTCTCTTCTCGGCTCTCTCACCTAAGGGCTATCGATCGGGACTCGAGGACATCGATCGGGTGATGCCCGGTCGGCAATCGAACGGGTTCTTCTAAGAAAGTCCGACCTGTACCTGCATAAACAAGAATAAAAGACGAAGACATGTCGGTCGGGGTATTCCCTACCAACACCCTTATTAGCTTATCCTTAAATTTAGACATTATTAACATTATCAAAACTAAAACTTAAACTCTACACCAAGTTTTAGATTTTGATTGAAGTCAATAGATTATTGATTTGAATGTTTTTAGTTATGTTATATCGTAATACAAGTTTGATCCAAATATTAGATATTGAAATTTCACATATATTAGACTTCAAAATAAAAATTATATTTGTACATGTAAAATATAATTCAAATGAATGTATCTAAAAATATTTTAAATATTAATATTATTTAAACTAAATTTTATGTGAA